AGAGATTGTGGTAGAAAATGAAACAAATCTAAAAAGACTGTTTTTTTAAAGCTAAAAAAAGTGTTTAACATCATTTCTAGTCTAGATTCTTTCAACAAATAAAGGTTCATACAAGAACAGAGAACTTTGGAAATCAGAGCGCAGGGTTTATGGAATAAGATTTCTTTGTTCTTTCACTTGGTGTGTGTGTGTGTGTGTCAATTCTTCTAGACTTTCATCTTTCATTCATTTCTGACCATATGGATTGTTTTTCGGTACGTTCGAGATTTGTGCATTAAGATTTTTCCTTTCACAATTGGGTGGGTGGGGGTGGGGGCTCGAAGAATTAGGATATTTTGATTTTAATGAAATAAATGAACATTTTTGCTGAAAATCTATTTTTTAAAGAGTTTCTACAAACACTCAGGCGTTAAAGTTTACATCAGCATTCGCCACCAATTTGAAAGGGTATTCAAGATTTACAAGAAAACTTAACTCAAATAGTTTTGATATGCTTTTATAAAACGTACATTAAAATTGAATAACAAGTGTACCGCAATTTAGTCCAGTCCGTAAATTAATCTCATTTATCACTTAACTCATGCAACGTTAATATAATCTCCACATAAGGAAATATCATGAAAGCTTCACCACATAAGGAAATAGCATGAAAGCTTAACCACATGAGGAAGTATCTATTCACTACACAAAGACAACATTTTGAGTAGGGGTAATGTATGCGTACACACACCCTACTTTCCTGGGACTATACTGGGTTGTCGTTATTGTTGCAAAAACGAGCAGATGACGTTTTGTACGACATGAAATAAACCCTGGGCATGCATATAGTATAGGGTTATAAAGGGTTTACTATGTTTGGTTTGAGCTTTTAATGTAAATTTCAGAATACTTTTTCAAACCCATTTTACATTTTACCCTGTAAACTATTTTATTTTACAGGTGAGTTGGTTTTCCAAAAATACAAAAATCAAACAAACAGACAAAACAAACAAACAAACAAACAAACAAGTGAAGCGCAAACCCTAAATTCAAAAACAAGCTGGGATCTTTTATTATTAATGCAACCACTAAAATCATTGAATCATATCAACCAATCAAAACCGAACAGGGAAGATATCTATGAAAATCTGGAATAAATCTCAATCGATTCCTAGTTCCTACGGTCCTGGACTATCTCATCTGGGTTTCAACAACAGATTCGTTTCCCAATGAGAGAGGGATTTACCAAAACATTAATGTTAAGAAAAAAGGGGAAAAAAACAAAGAAACAAACAGCCCCAGATAGCTCTGATTTGAATTCCATCCACTATATCCTTAAACACATGATAAGACTGGGAAACGAAGAAAAGGACGAAGCTTACCTTCTTCTTGGTTCTAGGGAAAAAAATCGAAGAGGGAAACGAAGAGATAAAGACTGGGAATTATTTGCTGCTTGGCTCTCCCAATCACAGGGAGAGAGATTGAGGTATATATAGAGAGAGAGGAATTGAATATTCTTTCTTTCCCAACACTACGCCGTACAGATCTTTCTAATTCTACTCATTCCTTGGGAAAATATTTACTCCCTACTTCCCTTCTCCTGTTTGGATTACAAATGAGAATTACCTAGTAAAATCCAATAGTAAAATCCTATGATGTTTGAAATCATTTTATTTATAAAATTGTACATTAATAAGAAATGAAATTACATTTTAAAAAAATAAATGCAAAGTTTTGCAAAATAAGAGGTGACAAAAGTATTTTATTTAATCAAATAATCAATGAAAACACATAAATAAATAAAAGTTATCAAGACGAAAGAGAAAATAAAATTATAATCAAAATAAGGACGGAGGGAGTACTAGTATATAACTATATATGTAAAAAAACTATATTGTATTATGATATAAATTTAGTATCTATATATTCCTATTGAAACATAGTTTTCAAAAATCAATTTTTTATAAAATATATTTATGTATAAGTATATATAAATATTAATGGTCAACGTACAACATGGGAGACAATGAAAAATCAAACGAGAAGAATATTTCCTGACGGAGAGAGTAATATGTTCCGTTTCCGCCCTCCTTGTCAGTATATTTGTCTCGCTTAAACCTGGACACGCGTCGGTTCTGGTACGGTTCAAGTTCAAGCACCCCCCCCCCCTAACCAACGCCCGCCTATGCTGGTACTGGCGGCGGTTCCAGAACTAGCGGTTTCGGTTCCGGGCCGGTGTTCCGATCCTGTTTAATTTTTTTTCATTTTATAATATTGGTATATATATGTGTGTGTGTGTGTGTGGGTGTGTGTGTGTGTAGAACAATGTAATCTAAAAACAAAGTTGTTATTTGAATAATAAAAATTGGATAATACAACTACATTTATTACTCTATCCGGTTAAAAAAGTGACGATGTAAAGAACTGTTAAGGTCATGTTCTTCCGAACTTATTTTTTTACTTATTACTTATTCTTATTGGAATCAGATCAGATAATAAATAGTTTTAAATATAACTACATTCAGATCAGATCAGATCTTATTCAATCTGATCAGGTAAAGTAAACATGACCTAAGAAACCCTTGAAGTGGGTTATAAATCACTCTCCTAAAAAACTAATTACAATTTAGGAAAAAAAATTATTCGTCGGAACTACCATTTCTAGGGGTGGGCAATCGGGTCCAGGAACCGGGAGCCGGAACCGGACCGCTAGGTTCGGTTCGGGTTAGGGTCGGGTCCTCTTTTCAAAAATTTCAAACGGTCCGGGTCGGTCCGGTCCTTACAAATTTTAGGATCAGTCCGGTTCTTCATTTTGAAATTGTATTGGACCCGGACCGGACCGTTTTTTAAATCCCAATATTATTTTTAATATTATTTTTAGTAAATATACGGATATATGGAAATATACCCGCCTAAGCTGTTCAATCTTTTGGTCCTTCCAATCGCAGGCAGAAAAGTAAGAAAACATTTCATAGTCAAAAAGTCAGAACTCATGAATTTTGTTCTTTTTGGAACCCATTGACATTATAATGCCAAAATATGGTTGTCTTCGTTTTTATTATTGTCGTTGGATGATCATGGGGTATACATTTTATTCTCATGTCCCTCTTTGTCATTTTCTTATTTTCATTTACGCCTCTTTTTTTTATGTTGGATGACTTAAATTAATGCATTATCCCTTTATTTTTTTAATATTAGTATCATGATAGGTTCGTACCCGTTGACCCGTGGAATCGGCCCGTTTCAAACAAGCCGGGTTAGGTCCGGTTTCAATTTTAAAATTTTAAAAACCCGTTCCGGCCCGGACCGTTTTAAAAAAACAAGTGGAGTCCGGTTTATACAAATCTTGGCTCGGACCGGCCCGTGCCCACCCCTAACCATTTCTCTTCGTGATTGCATCCATGTAATTTTGTGTATCCATGTCGTAGCATGTCTCTTGTGCTCAACGCCTTGTCAAGAGTCACAATTGGTTGCAAACAAGTGTCTCCAGTGATTGAGCATTAAGCAAATTTTGGAAGTAAGTTAAAATGTTGCCACTAGAACTGAACTCTTGTTCCACAAATACAGTTGAAACTCACATAGATAACACGTATCTAGCTAGTATTCTGAGTGACGGGAAAATGTGTTCATTCCTCCCCCACGAGTCGAGGATGTCGAACTCGCTGTCGTGGTCTTCATCATAGTCGCATGGGGCGTTTTGGTACATCAAAAGTTCATCGTGCAAACTTATTGTTGTGTCATCTGTACTTGTAGAAGTACTCTTACCTTTTCTTGCCAAGAAACCACCAACTATCCCTTTAAAACCTTTCTTTGCCTCCCGGACAGAAGAAGTTGTTGTTTCTTTCGGAGGAGTTCCATACAAAACTTGAATTTTTTTATATAAATAGTCAAAAAAGGTTATAACATTGTCCCTTTCTTTGGACCATTCTATTAAATGCTCATAATAATAACCATTTTCATTTAAAAACAACTATAATAATACTCAATGAGAATTTTAAGATTATCCGTCTTAAAGCGGAGATCACAAATAATACTAATTTTTAAAATATCAGGAATATTCAAGCAATAAACATGCCATTTTTCTCTCATTGGATACACACAGGGGGGGCCAAATTTGAACCAGACACACTTTCACAAAAAAACATGTAGTTATTGTAAGGACAATGCTACACTTACACCAAAAAATATACCCCATTTGTACACCACAGTTTTGCACAAACATTTTGATGGTTTGCACCGACACAAGTGTTGGTGCGTTAACAAAAATTTACACGGACACAAATGTTGGTGCAGTTAACAAAAATTAGTTTTACACCAACACAAAATGTTGGTGCAAACCTGCGGGGTACAAATTGAGGTATAAATGTTGGGGTACACATAGCATAATCCTTGCACTCAAAAAAATATGTTTATAGAGGATTTATAAACATGCGGAAAAGTTAAAATTGCACTCCTAAACAAAGCGGGTAAGAGCATGGGTAGTGGCGTGTCAAAGCCACTGCCACACATGCCAGCTCAGCATTCTTACTCCTTTTCCATGGCAAAGCAGTGCAATTTTCCTTGCAAATCGTGGCAAGTGCGAGCCAGCCACTATTTTTCTTTTTTTATTTTTTTTTGTAAAAAAAAGAAGTTTTTTTTATTTTATTGAGATTAGAGGCACTGTTTTACATTTTTAACCCTTTCTTTTTTTCTTTACAATTTATTTTCTTTTTCAAAACAATCTAATTTGAGACTAAAAAGTATACATTTTTAAACATTAATGTTTTATGTGAAATTATATAATTTAAATTAAAAAATTTTAAAATTTAATTCTCTCTTTGTACAATTAAAACTTTACAAGAAAATTCAATAATTTATAATAAAAAAGCACGCATTAGCTAATTAAAATATGTCAAAAATGTTAACTTTGCCAAAAAAGATTACAATTTTTTATTAAAATAAGGTAAGTAAAATAATTTGTGAAATTAAAATATATTAAAAGGGTATAAAAAAATATAAAAAATAGTGACTTGCGACTGCAAGACATGCCACTCCACTCATATACCACACGCTGACTGGACAGATTTTGATTGGCTAAAATACTAAGTGGTGTGACATTCTATTTCTTAGTTGCCATTGGGCCCTATAACCTTAAAAAGTTAAAAATGGCTCCATCGAAGAAGAAAGGCAAAGCCAAAGGTAACCCAGCCACCGAGTCAGCTCAGTCCAAACCGTCTTCGGCATCCACATGCTCATCCACGCCAAGCCTGGCCTGCATCAGCGTCGTACCGCCGTCATCCGTTGCGATAACCATCCACGCCAAGCCCGGCTCAAAAATCGCCACCATCACAGGTCCCCCCTTTCAACCCTAGCCAGCCTGTCGGTCTTTATGATACGGAGTAATTAATTATATACAAAAAATATTCATTTTCCTTGTTCGTGTGTTCAGATTTGAGCAACGAAGCAGTTGGAATCCAAATTGATGCCCCTGCAAAAGATGGTGAAGCAAATGCTGCCCTTATCGACTACATAAGCTCAGTAAGTCCTATTTCTCCTTGAATTTCTTGGATTTTCAGGAATGTTTTTTTGTCCATCGCGAGTTCTGGTGTCTTTTTTATCATGGGTTTTAAAGTTGATTTGGCTCTTTATCATTGATCAGCCTAGTGTAGGAAACGAATGCGTTCGTAGTCAATTAGGACATAGTAAATTAGGACTCCCTCCGGTTCCAGAAAGGACGTTGTGGTTGAGAGTATGTGGCTAAGTGGCTTAATCAAAGTTATTTTCTATTCAATGTTTAGTACGGAGTAATTTGTAATCCTTTAAATATATCATTTGATCAGAATTGCCATATTTGAAAACTGCACTGCAGGTCCCATTAAATTAGAAATAAAGCAAGGAAAGAATATTTTTTCGTGATCAGATGAATTGAAGTTATCTTTTTTGGACCATTGGGAGTATTACACAATGGTACAATTTCATATATGGCATGTTTGGGAATTTGGATTTGGATTTCAAATCCGGATTTGGCTCAAATTCCTTGTTTGGGAAACTTAAAAAATTTGGATTTGGATTTGAGTCAAATTCCTCTAGTTCTTAACAAAGCTCAATTTGAAATTCATATACCTCCCCTTGTCATTTGAAATTCAAGAATTCAAATTTTGGAATTGAAATGCATGAATTGAAATGCTAGTTCCCAAGCACAACCATAAAGATTTCCAAATGGGATGACTTTTATGTAAACCTTGCCTACTCTTTTCTAAAACATTATTTTTTATGTAGTGTCAAGTAATTGTCTAAAGTTAGTAAACAATATAAAAATGAAAAAAAGACACACTGACGGAGTCTAAGGGGATACGTGCTTTGTCTCATACCCTTTTAAATAAATTCTACTGTGTTTATAAATAATATACAATAACTTCTACCAAACCAAACCAAACCAAACATACCCAGCATTGGTTGTATGTTTCACTTTGGTAATTGCCATCTTAAACCGATATTCTGTTCCCAAGGATTTTCCAAGACGAATAAACGTCAACTTCGGCACCTTTATGAGACCCGTTGTAGCAACTTAAAAGATGTGATTTTTACAAAATAATTAAGATAGCCTGAGTGTAGCTAACATATCTATAAAACATTAATACGACTGAATATCCATAAATAAGTGGGATAGTGGACTTAGTTACCTGTTTACCACCACCGATTTAATAATCAACTCAATAACTTAAATACTGAAAACTGAAAAAGAAATCATCTAAGAGCAGATTCAATCATAATGGATATGTAATTAAAGTACAATGGTTTCACAATGGTGCACCTTTTATATGTCTCTAGGCACATATGAGTATTCCCCCTTGGAAAGCTGACTTGTTCTCAAGTTGTAATTCTTGAAATTGTTGCAGCAATATTCATGGTCCTTAATGCAACCTCCCATGGTAACTGCCATCGTAAGTCGACATTCCGTTCCCAAGGATTGTTCAAGACAAATAAATGTCAACATCAGCACCATTATGAGACCCGCTGTAGGAACATAAAAGATGTGATTTTACCAAATAATTAAGATAAATACTCATCATAATTAGTTTAATAAACTAACTGCTCAAAGACAACGGTTACACATCTTCAAGACCTGCCGTAGCAACACGAAAGGCGTCCTTTTTAAACCCACAAGTTTTTGATACTCTCTCAGCCTTAAAAGTTTGTTTATTTCAAATTCAACATCAAAAAACTTGTTTTACAATGAAGGAAGTAAAGCTTATTTACAGGCGTAATTATCACTAAGCTACAATCTAATTAAATAAAAAAAGATACAAATATCAAAGTTAAATTCTATCAAATATTCTTGATTGATTCTTCCAAGATGTTGTGCTTTAACCTCCATGCCAAGCCAAGTGAGATTAGACCTTTTTATCAATCTTTGTTCCTGAATTATCATGTAATGACAACGTTAATTGTCTTGGTAAAATTTTCAAAAATAAAGCATGTAAGTCTTCCTTGGCTTCACCCACCAAAACTTTATCTTGAATCATAGGGTTGAAAGTCGAGGGGCTTTTCGCCTTTCTCGCCTAAGTCGCTCGCTTTTCTCGCCTCAATCGTCGCCTCAGGCATTCACTTTTCTCGTCTTACTGTAGTTCTGGCTTCTGCTATGGGCCTTTTAAAAAATGGGCTGGCATTTTTTATAGGAAAGGGCTACCATCTTAAATGCGACTCATTTACACCGTAGCGTGACTAGACCTACCAGAATCCAGTCAGTCGACACAACTCTAACTCGTCTCCTCTGGTTTCATTGGGAACTCGGGTCTCGTATCCTCTCTCTTTGGCATCTCTCATCAGTTCTCTCTTCTCTCTGTTTCTTTTTGTAGTTCTTCTGCTACCTACTTTTTACGATATTTTTTTATGCTTCACATGTTTAGCTTACTTCTCTGTTGATGAGAGGAGAGCAATGATGAGTATGATAATGATTTCGAACCTCTTATTCCATCAAATATGATGGAAAATATGGATTTCTCTTTGAGTTATGACGATTACGATTAGCCTTTGAGATACATATGTAGTAACTACTCTAATTGTTTTGTTTAACATGTATGATTTGTTTGGGATTGACATTATTCATTGTATTGCACTATATTTTATGCATTAGTGTGTATGCCCAAGTTCGCCTTTTGGCCGCCCGCCTCTCGCCTTAAAAAAAGCCCTCCCGCCTTCCTTCTGCCTTTCAAAACTATGTCTTGAATACTAATCAAATATGCATAAGTATTGCATGTAAGGATTTGGGATTGATTGGAATGTAATTAAATAAAACTAGGTTAATTAGGAGGAAACTTCCGTATCCCCAAAATATCGTAGAACGGTTGATCATAACCACCCATTTTCATTCCAGGGGGTCGGCCATGAAAACCGTCCAGTGAGTTAGTACTTAGCTTAATCAGTTTAATAAAGTAATGGGTCAAAGATAACTCATGCACCTCTATGAGACCTGCCGTAACAACACGAAAGGTGTGATTTTAAAATTCACAAGCTTTTGAAATTCTCATAAGTCTCACAACCTTAAAGGTCAATATATTTCATATTCAACATCTAAAATTGGTTTTGCAATGAAGGAAATGGAATTTATTTATAGGCATTATTATCTTTAAGCTACGAACTAATTAAATAAATAAAAATACAAATATTCAAATTAAATCCTATCAAATATTCTTTAGCAGTACTTCGAAGATGTTGTCTTTTAACCTCCATCCCAAGCCAAATGAGATTAGCCGTTTTTATCCATCCTTGTTCCTTAATTATCATATAATGACAAGTGACAACAATGTTTATCTTGATGGAATTTTCATAAATAAATCATGTACAAAACATTATCTTGAATACCAATCAGATATGTAAAAGTATCGCATGAAAGGATTCGGGCTTGATTGGAAATGAATGACTTAAAAATCTAGGTTAATTTGGAAATTAGGAAGAAAATTCTGTATCCCCAAAATATCATAGAACAGTTGACTGTAACCCATTCTCGGTGTGCGGGTAGAGTCTGAAAGCCGTCCAGTCACTCCAGTGAGTGACTTCATCCAGTCGGACAGGTACGGTTGACCGTTTTCCTCATACGGTCTAGTTGCTGGATTGTGAATTTACCCAGAGACGCTAGTCCTGTCGACCGCTGCATTTGCTCGGTTCAGTTGCTACCTGCTGGACTGGAAAACATGGGTCTTGATTACCATCTTCCGAAGTCCATCCGGGTTCACCAATTCTATTCCAGCGGTTTTTTAACTTTTACCCTTCGTTCATCCAATCCAACTTTGTACCATTCGAGACAAATGTACTTTATTATTTATGAGCAAATTAAAATTATCCCGATTCTTTAGGCTCATGCGCTTGTGATTGGACTCTCTAGTATGGTTGATTTCAAAGCCTCATTGTCTTTGTTAAAATCATCCCGAATCCTCTTGGCCTGTGCCCTGTAGTAGGACCCGCTATTACAATTAGTCCAGTGGTTTGTCTCAATGCTCCCAAGATGTTGGCCCTTCCAACGATTAGATGGCACCTTTCCCGGTTCCAAGAGCAACTCAAGGTCATCAGAAATTGGTAATTCTGCAGGAGGATCTGACACTGTGATGCCATCTGCAGGACGGAGCAAGGAGACATCAAACACCGGATGAACTACCTCTGTAGAGGGCAACTGAAACTCATAAGCCATGGTTTGACTTTTCTACTGGTGTTGTAGGGTCCAAAGAATTGTGGAGAACGCATGATGTATGTCTTGTGAGCTATGGAATGCCGACAGAATTGTTGAATTGGAAGATAGACATCATCACCTTCTTCGAATTTAAGCTCATGCCGGTGACCATTTGTACAAGACTTCATAAGACCTCATTCTGTCTTGTGCTCTCTTGAGATCACCTTGGAGCAAACGTAGCATATGTTCCCTGGTTTCCAATTGGTCAGCAAGTTCTGCAAAATTTGTTTCTCCCTTAACGTAGCGATGGTTGATGGAGTGGAGGTGGGTCTCTGCCATATACAAGCTTAAATGAATTTGTATTCGTGGATGCGTGGAAATTAACACTCAGCCCAACATAAGAAGTTGCTCTATGCAGGTGGTTGTTCTTGTGCAAAACATCTCAGATAAGCTTCAAGACTATTAACCACTTTTGTTTGCCCATCATTTTGGGGATGATAGGTGGTACTCATTTTCAAACATATTTTGGGTCATTTGACCAATTCCACCCAAAAAGGTGCTCAAGAAAGGGGATCTTGATCTAAAATGATAGAGTGGGGTATACCAAGCATTTTTAGGATCTCTTCACAATAGCGGACAGCCACTGATTTTGGAGCGTAAGAGCGGGAGTTGAATAGAATTACAGTATTTACTCAACCTATGACCTATCCACTACCACCAGAATAGTGTCAAAATTTCCAAATTTGGTCAACTGCAGAATAAAGTCGATTGAAAATTTTTCCCGTCTACCTCTTCCCGCTCTTATATTTAACCAACAAATAAATTTTAAAATATACTTTCTCCACTCGGATTTAGTTGCCTACTCTCTCGTTTTGGGAAGTAGAGCATTACTTCCTCTTTAAATTTTTCTTCTTTCCATATTTTGTAAACAAAAAAATCAGGAACCATCAATTATACCCCTTTGGAAGTCTATTATTAACATTATTGTTATGAATGTACGGCAAGTAATTTGAAAGGAGTGTTTCTACTTTCTAGCAAGCATCTTAGGTTAATGAGATTGGTATGATCCTTTATTCCCTTTCACGTCACGTTATTAAATTATTAAAAAAAAGAATAAATAAATGCACAAGCTGAATTTATAATCTTTCTGGGAGAAGGTTCAAGTCATCTTAGGTGCTGCCCCTAAGAATATTTGGAAGTTACGTGTTCTAACACTCATTCTTTAGATATGAGATTTTTTTACTGAATATGGAGCAGTAATATTTGATTATTTCACTTGTACGGACTTGTACATTTGAGAAACTAAACTTTCTGCGAGGGGAGTAATATTTTCTCATTGCCCAATGCCGGTGTGATGAAGTGAGTTTTTCAATTGTAGCTTTGGAGTAATACTTTGAGTTATCTTTCTTTTTTTAATAGTCAGACTTGGAATTATCCTTCGGCGTTTTCTAGTTAAGAAGGTTTTGATTTTGTGTGAAAATCTCACAAGCAGTCATTGTTGGTCAGGTTCTTGGCGTGAAGCGAAGGCAAGTTTCCATACGTTCGGGCTCCAAGTGTAGGGATAAGGTAGTGATTGTGGAAGAAGTAAATGTACAGGCTGTGTTCAATGCACTGGACAATGTTTTGAAGAGCCATTGAACCAACAAATTTCCTAGACATGTGAGGGATGGTATGGTCACTCTCGCCTGCGCGTATATCATGGCCACATTCCTGTTTCCAAGTATGTATTGTACAATATTTATTTCGATAGAAGTTATAATTTGTCCTCAATTTCTCCCCGTAAATACGAGAAAAAAACTAGTACTTGGTTTGTTGATTGTTGGTTTCGAGAGGTTACCCCTCCCTACTCAATTGTCCATAGAGCCCATTTTGGCTTTCTTTTTTTTCTCTTTCGTGGAATGTTGACGTAGTGCCAAAGGAAGACACTCCTAAATGTCTCCACACCTAGTGTTCGAACTTCACCCTACGCTTCAGACTTACGAGATTTAGATTATAAGATTGAATAGATACTATATTGATGAGTACGAGAGCTACTAGAAATAATTTACATTCCCTCCAAATGTTTCAAGAATCAGATATCAATCCCCACATATCACATCACACTTGTATTTAAAATTTCAAAAAAAAAAAAAGGCAAACACAACAAATTCTTCTACTATTACAAAAATTACAGCTCCTAGGACAACAAAAAAAGGTTGAGCAATGGAAAGCGGCGAAGCATAGTTCCACTTCTTCTCCAATCCTACAATGGTGTGTTCTACTAAAACAAAAATTAAGCCTTTACACTATGTTTAGTTCAAGGCATTTGGAAGGAAGAGAAATGAACATTGTTCTCTGTCAATTTGCTCACCAAAATGAGAAGAATTTAGGTTTTTCTCTTCTTTATTACGGAGCACATTTTATCTGTCTCATTTTTTTTCTTCTACCGCTTTTCGGTGAGTTCCCATGATATTGGCATTCCATGTTATAGGGATGACCTGGGGGCGTTTCAGTGCCCCGTCTGTAAAATTGACAGTTCTTACTCTCCATAAACCCCCGGTAAAATCTCCCCACTCCGTCCCGATAGGAACACACCCTCACCCCCTTCAATTAAACCCCACAAATTAATTTTGACTCCACAATTACCGAGGTGAAGTCAAATTTTGACTCCAAAGTCAAATTAATTTGGGGGGTGCAATTGAAGGGGTGGGAGGGGGGGTGCCCGGGTCGGGGTGGGATAGTGCAACTAAATTTATTACTCTGACGGTTCAAATTGGACGGTGTAGAATTAAAAATTAAAAATTTTGTACTAACATACTACATCAAAATATATGCAAAACTAGTGGTGACATGATTATTTTATTTTATTATCTGTGTCGCACATATAATTATGATATAAGTCATCTGTGTGATGCATGAGTGCACCTTTAATAGCAACCATTTGGGGCACCCTCACAATTAAAGCATCAACTAACACATTTTGCCTGATTTTGTTAAATCCATACAAATATCAAATTTATATTAGTAGGTGTGAATTTAGTAAAATGAGATGAAAAGTGTGAATATGACCATACCGGGAGACTTAGCAACACCCTGTTTATTTTAAGAAAAAGGTATCTTAAATAATCTCATCTTTTTACGTTTAAAAAATACCCCCTCCGTTTGAAAAAAGTATTTTTCTTTTGACTTTGTGTAAAAATAAAGAAGTATTAAATTGCAGTTGACTTCCAATTTTGCCCTTGATGTGATAAATAAAAGTAAGATGTGATGGATAGATTATTAGAGATAAAGTATGATGTGATAGGTAGGGTATGAAAAAGTAAGGGTAAAAGTGGTTTTTTAATATATAGTGGAAGTGTTTTGTTGGAAATGAAAAAAATGAAAGATGAAGTGGTTTTGAGAACGGAGAGAGTAATAATCTCACCTTTCACTGTCACAAAAAAATCCACTTGATGGGTGTATTCCATCCAGGACCGGTCCATGGTTGTTCTGATCATACGACAAAAGTTCATACCGGTTGGTGTCAGCACGAAAGGATCCAAGGGAGGTTGGACGGTAGCGACTGAATTTAATAAAAAATCACCGATGATATTCACACAATCTGTCTAACACGCTACGCGACAAGGAAGTCATCTTCCTAGTAAGATGACAAGAGAATAAAGAGATAAGAAGGGCAAAGGCAATCACTTCGCGCCATCTAAGAACGTGGCGATGTGCGGCGCCTTGTCCCCTCTAGCTTCCTATAAATACTTGTGTAACCTTCAAATGAAGGAATCAGAATTTCATCTCTCTAGAATTTATATTATAATAACTCTCGACAATTTCTTGCATATTCAATAACAAGTGTACTACAAGTGCTTCCACCTACAGTCTTACCAGTCACTTTTGCTTTTCACATTTTTTTACTTTCTAAGCACAGCAAACTATTCTAGACCCGGTCTATTACAGTTTGCCCGGTGGTTAATTTACACCATCACCACCTATCAGTATGTATGCGAGTTTTGGGTCGACGTTAAAAAGTTAACTTCCACTTAATGAGATTTTTGGAAAATGCTTGTTTTTCGCAAATAAATGAAAAGTAGGATTATTTTAAGCAAATATACTTTAAAATTTATGTTTTTTAAGAGTATAACAGTATACTCTTGTTAGAGATTTGTCTCAATTTTTTAAAGAATATAATTATTTACAAATTTTGTTTTCTATTATGGGGGGAAATATAATATTGGATTATCAAAAAAATAATTCAGAATATCACTTGAGAAAAAAATTGCAACATAAAAAAATTGTAGTGAGTTATAAAAATAATTAGTGCCATTTTAGAGAGAAAATATTGTGTCATTCTCAGAGCTTTTGAATTATTATTTTCGGGGATAAATTTGTGCTGAATTAACAAAAAAATCACAAGTTAGGTAGTTCCATTATAGAAAAAATAATACAGGTAATAAAAGATTATCAATAAACATTTCAAAGTGTTGCTCATGAAAAAATTGCAATATAACAAAAAATATAGTGATTTATAAAAATAAAAGTTCCTTTTCAAAAAAACTTATTGCGTTATTTTTACAACTGTTGTAATGTTGTTTTAAAAAAAATATTTATATAGAATTTTCAAAAAATATTTACAATTTTTGCAGTGCTATTTTTTAAAAAAATAATAACAATATAGTATCAAAAAAACAATTTGAAGTGCCGCTCAAGAAACATAATTGCAACTTACAGAAAAAGCATTGAGTTATGAAGTAAATAAATTAGCTTCATTGTGTAGAATATTTTTTTGTTCAATTATTATCAGACTCTCGATTAATAAAAAAATAATTAGTTTTACTCTAAAAACACTTAATTTTGGTATTATTTATGAAAAGATTTTTAAAAAATTCATTTAAAAGTTAGAAATTAAAAAAACAAAAAAAGAGAATTAACTAAAATAATCTCACCTTTCATTTATTTTTGAAAAATAAGCATTTTCCGAAAATTCCGTTTAGTGACCGTTAGTTTTTTAACGACGACCCAAAACTTGCACAAATGCGAGGCTATTTCCGGTGAGAGTGAAAAATATGATTATTTTTGAAAGAGCGCGAAAACGTGAGATAGTTTGAGATAATTTTCTCTTATTTTATTTATCAACATCCATTTTCAAATAAAATTCTTTATTTTAAGCTTTGAATATTTAAGTTCTTTAAAACTGGTTTTAGAAGACATTCCAATGGATGGATGGCTACAAACCCAAAGATGGTTTTATAGAGTTAGGGTTGATGTCAAATTGCGTTTTTAATGCTCAATTTAACATCAAATGACAAGAAGTTAAACAAAATAATATCGATGAAAAGGTATCAATGAATAAAAGACTATAATTGTAATATTTGATAATAATAGACTAAATATAAAAATCAGCAGCGAAAGAAAAAAGTCACTTAGGTGGAATTTTTTAAATTCGAGTCACTGCATATGTATCTTAAGGACAAAAGAAACATACTTTCACCTAAAAGTGAGAATGAGAGTTTGACTCCAAGCTACTACTCCTACCCATGCTCAAGTTGAATATGACTAAATAAGTAGAAGTATTTGTATGAATATTTATTTTTGAGTTAAAATACTTATTCTCGAGTAATTGAATATTTATTTTCGAGCACAGTTGAGTTTAAAACAAAGGAATATTCAGTTACTCGAAAATGAGTATTCAGTTGCTCAAAAATGAATATTAAATTACTCGTAAATGAATACTTAGCGAGTATTTAAGGAAACACATTATAACCCGTTGTACGATATATATTGTAGGCCTTATACCCCCGTCACAAAATTCCTTACACTTTGGTTTGAATGTCTCAAAAAATAATTCACCCTTATTTTATTCTCTATTTCGATAATGAATATAAGTGGCCACAAACAATTCTTTTACTACCTATTTTGGTCCTCTTCTTTTGGATTAGAATTAACTTCTAACTTCTTCTAAGTGTTCCTATTTTCTTCCAATAACGACTTAAAAATGTACTTATATATGATTAATATAAAATAACATTATATATCCAAATTTTTAACAGATCACCCGAAACACGAACAATGATAAATTCTTTTTTATCCAAGATTAAAGTTTTTTTTAAATATTTATATGGATGATCATTTAATTGAGTGCTTTTTTAAAACTTAAATCTTTCCAACATTCTCTTACTCCTTCCAATTTCTTTCAAATCTTTTTAATTTCTTCCAATTTTCAATTCTGAAATTTCAATCTAAAAAATAGAGAGTTAAAGTTTAAATTAAAAGTTTAAACTACTTTGGAGGACTTTCTTTTGGAAAATGCTAGGGGTACACCAAAGGTGTACCCCATTTGTCCCCCTCCCCTCCATTACCAATCAATTAGGCAAGAAAATTAAAAAAAATAAGTAAATAAAAATCAAAAATAAATAAGTGGTTATTGAAGGGGTGGTGTACAAATAGGGTACCACCTTTGGTGTACTCCTAGCATTACTCGTAGACCTGGCAAAACAGAACTGGAACCGATTACCCGAACCGAAATATCCGAAACCGAAACCGGAATGACCTGAAAAATGAAGATCCGATCTATAACCGAAAACCCGAAATGATCCGAATCTAACCGAAACCAAACTAAATAATTCATATCCGATTTAAATCCGAAACCGATTAGATCCGAAATCGATAATATCCGAACCGATTAAACCCGAAACCGATTAGATCCGAACCTGATAATACCCGAAACCGATAAAATCCGAAACCGATTAGATCTGAAACCGATAATATCCGAACCCGATTAGAACTAAAATCGATAAATTCAGAACTATGTTTTCCTTTCAATAAGCATATTATATTTTTAAATTTTTACTTTTATTTTACCATTTGAACTAGTTACATTACTTACTCATTCCCTCATAAAATGGATTATCTTCTTGAAAAAAAGTACAAAATTTTATGCCTTAAATTTATTATATGTAGAAATTAAAGATAAGTTATACATATAAATGATAACGCACAAACAAATAAAATTTCCGTAATTTTTAAATTGTGAAGTGTGATATTTTTTTGGGACGAAAGGAATATATGATTAATTGTATGGAATAACTAGATTTTATACTAATTTCATCTCATTACAATAAATTTTATTGATTTGAGAGTTAATTTGATTAGTTTCAAACCAATTCACTGAATATTAGTCAATAAAATTAGATGCTAGTGTTAGCATTTTGAAAAGACTCTCTAGCGGCAGCCTTTACTGTTATCATTTTCAAATTTGATCTACACCATTACATTTAGGTGTAAAATTAATTATATTTGACTCTATTAAATTTAATTTTCTCTATTTTCAACCAAATATACTCAATAATTTACAAATTTTGCACTCAATTGAATAAAATTCACTTAATTTCACCTATTTTTACTCAATTTTTACCAAATTGTATTCAAATGGAACATAAGACTATTTGAATTTATCTTTTATCCTTTCATTTATATACATAAGTATATTAGTAGATGTGAGAAAAATTTGAAAATAATATATATCCAAAATATATTTGATCCGAAACCGAAATATATCCAAACCGAACTAGACCCGAAACCGAAATATATCCGACTCAAATTGTATTCGAACCGAAATCTATCCAAACCGATTTATAACCAAACCGTATCTGAACCGACTCGAAACCGAACCGAACCGAAAAATGTATAGAACCGAAATCAAATCCGAACCAAAATTTAACCGATCCGAACCGAACTGAACCGATTATAACATGTAACCGAAAGATATCCGAATCGAAAAAATCCAACCCGAAACCGATCCGGTTCATCTCTAATTACACGTTTCTTTTTCAGCCCAACAACCCCGCCACCTCCGTTATTCTCACCAACCCCCCAAAGGATCCTGTTAATTACTGTACTTAATTGCAGAAGACCATAGAGTCCTTCAACTCAATCCTCTGCCATTATTTTCAAACAACTTCTTCTACCGTGTCTCGATCGGAACAAGTCCGGGGACGACGCCACTAATGGCGACGGCTTCTCATTCTCTGCAGCATTTGTATGTCTCTTCATCTTCTTCATCTCCTTCCAGATCAACTTCAACTTGCTCTGATTCGAAGCCCTTCAAATCGCTGATCTCTTTCTCTTCCCGGATCCGCCCCGTCACGCTCAAGTAATTCTTCTCCATTTGTATGCATATGCATTGCGACTTTAGGCGGCTTTTATCTTACCAAATGGATCCTTAATCTTGTTTCCGTTGGGAACAATTGGAGGTCAATAGCCCTTAAAGATTGCTTTTTTTTCATTGTTTGATAGTGATATGGTGTGAGATAGGGAGTGCTTTTTGTGGTTTCATTGATTGGGAGCTACAAGTTAGTTTTGCTTGAATATAGACTTGATTTATTGTTGATCAAGTTAATGGATCAATGTGGTTCGTATCGTCTCAACCAAATGCTTAAGATTATAAATGAGCTACTTGTTTATAATGAGTATTTCATGTTTAATTTTCTTTTTCTGAAAATTGAAACTTTTGCTTGGATATATCATCTTGGTGTTCAAGCTAATGTTTTGATTTTTTTTTCTCTGGGGTTGATAAAATTGAATGATTTCAATAAAAACTTATTAAAATGTAGTTGGAAACTTGGACTGCGTATCTCATGCTTATTGTTATGAGTACAAGCCCCGGAGACGTATTATGAAGCTCTCAACTATGACCTTTGGTCCAACCCTAATGCCAAATTGTAACACAATAACACATCATGGCTAAAACCAAATTGAATGACATATTAGTATTACACATTAATTGTTTATATTTTTACATCTCAGATCTCCATGTTTGTCTATCTAGATCATTGGAGCCAAATAGGAGGGTGTTTTCAAGTAGGCAAAACCTCGTTGCGAGAGCTTGCATCAGTATGGAGGTTGATATATCTTTGAGCCCTAGAGTGAATTCAGTGAAGCCTTCCAAAACAGTTGCCATAACCGATCAAGCAACTGCTTTAGTGCAAGCTGGAGTGCCTGTTATTAGATTGGCTGCAGGGGAACCTGATTTTGATACTCCTGCTCCAATTGCAGAGGTATTTAACTCGTTCCATTGCTCGTGAGTCACTTAGATTTTGAATGATTATCTTTACTAATGTGATTAGAAATGCTTTGTATGTCAAATTGAGTATATTACACTCACTTCCTTGTGTACGTGTTATGTACGTGTTGTTTGAATCTCACCACTTGAAGACCTTTATAAGGTGGGTTAGGCCAAATTTATCATGATACCATTGTATTAAAATCTTGTCTAACAGTGGTTTGTAGAGTGACTTCCAGTTTTGTTGTTTGGGGCTACCCATTTAGGGGTCAGTTTAGGCCTTATTTGTCCATCCCTTTCAAGCCTGACTTGGGTGGGAGTGGGTGGGTGGGGTATTGAGTATTATACATTGGTTGTCTACTGAGTTTGTATTTAGTATGTAAGTGTGAAGTATCTTATGCTATTGTGGAGCTTTTTGGGGTGAGTTATGCCATATTCAACATTATTCACCATTTTATCTTGTGCACCTAGGCTGGTATTAATGCAATCCGTGAAGGGTACACTAGGTATACACCAAACGCAGGAACTTTAGAACTTCGTTCAGCTATTTGTCATAAGTTGAAGGGTAAATCATCATCCCTGATTTTGTTCATAACCTAGAGCAATCTTTTCATTTCCCTTTCTTGATATATTTTCAAAATGTAGAGGAGAATGGGATATCTTATACCCCTGATCAGGTTTTGGTAAGCAATGGGGCTAAACAAAGTATTCTTCAGGCAGTCTTAGCAGTATGTTCTCCGGGAGACGAGGTATCATTAAACGTCTGCCATTCTCTATTTTGGTGAAGCAAAAGCATTTTTCTTCATTCATATGTATAAAAATCCTACAGGTTCTAATTCCAGCACCGTTCTGGGTTAGTTACTTGGAAATGGCAAGGTTGGCAGATGCAAACCCTGTGATTATTCCTACTAACCTATCAGATAATTTTATTATGGATCCGGGGCTTTTGGAGTCCAAGCTCACCGAGAAGTCAAGGCTCTTGATTCTTTGTTCTCCATCCAACCCAACAGGATCTGTCTATCCCAAGAAAGTGCTTGAAGACATTGCTAAGATTGTGGCAAGACATCCAAGGCTTTTGGTAACACTCACCCTCATCTTCAACAGTATGCTATGAAAATGCTAATCTGTTCACGATATTAAAAATTTGCTCTCTCTCTCTCTCTCTCTCTCCCAGGTGCTTTCTGATGAAATTTATGAGCACATTATTTATTCACCAGCAACTCATACAAGCTTCGCCTCTTTGCCAGGAATGTATGAGAGGACTCTCACAGTTAATGGATTTTCTAAGGTGGACTATTGTGTTGTTTTTTTCTTGGGGGGGGGTGATGGGTTTTTGGCGTTGCTAAAGTGGGGTTTCTTACAGGCCTTTGCAATGACTGGTTGGAGACTGGGTTATATTGCTGGTCCTAAACACTTTGTTGCTGCATGCAATAAGATCCAGAGCCATGTATGTTGTATGCTTGAATAATGACTTTCACCAAATAATCTTTTTGAATAAGATTTCATAATTTGTTCAATCCAATTTATATTTTCTACTGCTATATAAAATAGTCCACATCTGGGGCCAGCAGTATCGCACAAAAGGCAGGTCTTGCTGCTTTAGGGCTGGGCTATGCTGGCGGAGAAGCCGTTGCAACAATGGTAAAAGCCTTCCGTGAGCGACGAGATTTCCTCGTCAAAAGCTTTGGGGAAATAAAAGGCGTCAAGTTTTCAGAACCTCAGGTAACATCTTGCGCCTTGCACGTTGAGGAATATCCCAAAACCTTATATGTTGATGATTAACCCAAACTGATGAATGTTTGTTTTTGTCTTCATGCTTAGTAGTTAATATACTCCGCACACGGTGGCTCGTTTTATCAAGTCAATCTTAAAATCACTATTTATTGGAAGATTAAAAATTCAGATTCTATCTTAAAGTGGTAACCTTATGAGAAAAGTAACTCAAGGCCTTACAAGCCACACTACCCGTAGTCCCGTAACTCTTTTTTATCCTTGGATCTTCATATTGACCCGTTTCTTCTGTTTGCAGGGTGCTTTCTATTTGTTTATTGACTTAAGCACTTACTACGGAACAGATGTTGCTGGATTTGGCATCGTGAACGATTCGGAGTCCATGTGCCGTTATTTGCTAGATAAAGCTCAAGTAAGATGTGATCATATTATGACCCTTCTCCTAGACTTGTGAATCTAGACATACAATAACAACAACAACAACAACAACAACAACAACAACAACAACAACAACAACCGAGTATAATCCCCCAACTCCGTTGGGATTTGGGGGTTCAAGATTTACACAATCTTACTCATGTAAAAACAGAGAGGCTGTTTATGTTAGACCCTAGATGCATTGTTGCATTTATTACCCAAAAGGCCAAAACTTCATAGAAAGTAAGAAGCAAGAGAAGTTTAATGCTTCATTTTGCTAAAGTTGAGTTTTTTATTTTTGGAACATGAATGAATCAAAACAGGTGGCTCTTGTGCCTGGTGGCGCCTTCGGAGACGACACCTGTATCCGAATCTCTTACGCAGCATCACTCCCCTCATTGGAGGCGGCTGTCTCAAGAATCCGCAGCGCATTGCTCTCTCTCAGGCCTGTTTGATTTACTGCCATCTCTTCCACATTCTTTTCTTGCACATTTGTGAGATTCTGTTGTTGTGTTGTAGCTTGGCAATCTAAAATATGAACACTATGTTTCTCCATAATGTCTTACGTGTATTAAATTGAGCTATGTTTCTCCGTAAGCAGTTTTTAATTTATAAGCGGCTTATATGTTAAATATTCTTTCATGGATGTAAAATGACTTAAATGATATACGGAGTATAAATCATTTGGTATATTCATAAAACGTGAGATTATTTTTGCACATAATCTGGTCAAAACGGAGAAACAAAAAAACTGATTTAAGAATAGGTAGGCGAGATCTATTTATTTTTTCTTGTTTATAAAGTCAGTTTATAAGCAAAGAGAAACACGCCATTATAAAACTTTGTTCCCAAACAAATATGTGCGATTTTTAGTTAATTCTTAACGAAGTTTTAAGAAGCAATTTATTAGAACTAGCTGTAAAATGTCATGATGAATTAGAGAATACATAAGAAAAATGTCAGGTGAAAAAACTGGCTTATGAAAACAAATTAAACAAAACGTAATACGTTTGCTTAAAGCATGTTTAAATATGGGTTGATTGATTTCTCCCAAAACAATCTTGAATTATTGTAAAATTATAAGATAATAATTTACGAGTTAATATCTTTTAATGATGCAATGAGTTTCACAAAACAATAATTCAATCCAAAAATATAAATATTCTAAGGAAAAATTATCTCAAATATTCCTCCCATTTTGTGTTCTTTCAAAAATAATCTTACTTTTTATGGTCACGGAAAATATTGTCACCTTTCCTCATGTGTGCGAGTTTTGGATCGCTGTTAGAATGCTAATGATTACTTAACAATTTTTTTTAGAAAATGCTTGTTTTCGCAAATAAATGAAAGGATGGATTATTTTAGGTAAATTTACTTTCTTGTTTTTAATTTTAAATTTAAATATTTTTTTAAAAATATTTTTAAAACAGGACCAATTTAAGTCTTTTTCAGAGTGACACTAATTAATTTTTTCAATACTTGATAATCTGGTAATAAATGTTTTTTCCAAAATAATATTACAAAAGTTGTGAAATTGCATAATAAATTAATTTGCAAAATGGAACTAATCTATTACTCCGTATTTAAAAACAATGATTAGTGTCACTCTAGAAAAAACACTTGAATTTGATATTATCTATAAAAACATTTTAAAAATACATTGAAATTTAAAATTAAAAATTTAAATACGAAAAAGGAGAATCTAGTAATTATTCTTTTTTCCAAAATAAAATTACATAAGTCGTGAAAGTGCACATCAAATTATTCTACAAAATGAAACTAATATATTTACTCCATAACTCATTACTTTTTTTGTAAGTTGCAATTGCTTTCTTGAGCGGCACTTTGAATTATTTTTTAATAATATACTATTATTATTTTTCTAAAAATGATAGCACAAAACTTGTGAATATTTTTTGATAATTCACTATAAATGTTTTGTGGTACTCCCTTTATGTTTTACTTGTATTTAGGTTGATTTCTTAAACGATTATTAAACATTCTATTTACATGCTATTATATGGCCTTATATAGGAACCTTTGGAAAATTAGGATTAGAGAAGCGGGATAGGAGCTCGGTGTTGTAGAGGTTGTTTTGTAGTGTGTTGTATTTGTTTGAAATCTTTTGCTATTACCTGTACTTGTTGCTTGTACTTGGTGCTCTATCTGTGTTATATTATGTTTCCTTCCATATTTTTGTGCAGGTGGAACCGGGGGTCTCTTGGAAACAGCCTCCCTACCTCCGAGTAGGGGCAATGTCTGCGTACACACCCTCCCCAAACCCTACTGTTGTGGGATTCACCTGGGTTGTTGTTGTTACATGCTATTCTTTTAAATAATTATAAATAATAAAAAACATTTACTTTTAAATTTAAAAAATTAAATTTATACTTTTAAGCATTATATTGTCATCTTAAAAAACTTAAAATATTTTTCCATAATTAATGTGTTTTTATTTCAAAAATGGATCAATTTGAGAAAACACCCAATTAGAAAGTACCCTTTTGAAAAAGTAGTATAAAGTTTAACATCGTTTTAATGTCGATTTAACGGCTGTTGTTCAAGAGACTGAACTGAGCATTATTTTTAATTAACAAATATTATTTTAGAATTTAGTTAATTTTGTTGTTCAAGAGTATAAAACGATTTTGAGAATTTATTCCAAAAAAAGCATGTACTGCATAGTTTCTCAGAAATCAAGACTTCTCTGAGATCTCTCAGACTCTCACAAGGTCACAAATGGCAGAAACACTTCGAATCATATTCCTCAATTCCCTCGCCCCAGGATATCTTTCTTCTGCTCGCCGCCGAACTTATTTTCCGGCCACCCGTCTTCCATTTTCCAGCAATTATCCGTTCAGAATCCAAACCGGTCCAACACTCGCCCGAAACTGCCACACCATTGCTGCAACTCCAATTAGAGCTCAAAGCCAATCAATTCAGGTCAGTTTCTCAATAAGACCTGGGTATATCAATTGAACTTGGTATAGTTTTCAAAAAACAAAAACTGAATTTGGTATCCACTGAAAACCATGATGGTGTCTTTCAGGGGAATGGAAGTGGGAGCCATTTTCCAGCAAAAGACAACAATTGGACTGCACGGGTTTTGAAGTTTGCATCCAATAATTTTCTTCCAATAGGTAATTTGAATCAATGGATTTCGTATTTGATATTGTTCCAACAGCTTATATGCTTGCGTGTTGCAAGCTTCAATGTGATTGGAGCAACCGAGCAAATGCTAATGGGGAATCTTTTACCTTGTTGATTACAAATTCTTGTGATTTGTTGCGAGGTGATAGGAAAACAATATTCTTCATCGCATCCAAAGTTTCTAGTAATTTGAAGTTTTTGAGTATATGAGTGGCATTTTTATAGCAATCGTACTTAATCACGAAGTCATATTTCAAAGAAACATTTATCTAGTGGAAGAAGTAATGAAAAAGGAGGAAATCGATGAAAGAGTCTCTCTGCTTTTGAGTATGGATAAGGTCTGATTAGGGGTAAGGTCAGGGTACACACACCCTTCCCAGACCCTACTTTTTGTGGAAATTTTACTGGGTTTGAAAGGAGTTTGGTGTTACTATATATTGGATTGGAAATGAATTATATCTTAGTTGGACTAGAAAAAGAGAGTGGGACTCGAGAAAGGCAACCATGGAGATTTGTATGCATTTCTTTTTTGCTGTAGCTAATTTAAGCAGGCAGGCATTGAGGTTGTCCCACTAATATTTTAAAAGATGAAGCCTGTTTGGTAATTACGGTGTGGATTAACCTTTCTAATGATACTCTGGCTAGCTCTCCTTAATACAATACAAGCATATTTTCACTCCTTTGCATAAATCCCAACCATACAATTTTTCATTTTCTGCAACTTCACTACGTGCACTTAATTTTGGGACGGAGGAACTACCCACAGCAATGACAACTAAGCCTTAAATTCAAAGTAAATTGGGGTAGGCTACATCAACCAAGAGGATAACCATGTTCGGTCATTCACATTTTTACATAAATGTTCTCTCACCATTTCTTTACAGCCATTGCCATACTCTTGTCCAATATCAAATAAGACAAATTGTTCCTGATAACCTCCTCCCCCATGTTTTTGAGTCTCCCCTTTCCTCTTATGCACAATTCATTTGTCCACCTCTCAAGTCAAATTACCGGAGTACTGTTGCATCAATAAGTCTTTTTTGTATGTGTCCACACCACCGCAATCGATTGTCTCTCAATATATCTTCTAAGGATGTGGCATGCCCATCCAGTTAGGATGCAAAATGTTAGTTTCTTGAAATATTAACATTTTAAGAAAATAGTGCTACACTGGATGGTTGGAACGACCTTTTGAAAACTCTGAGATCATGACTCACGAGTAGGCATATGCAGGTCTGATAAGCAATAAAAAGGAACCAGTCTTGTTGTTTCAGTTTGTGGAATTTTTTTTCTGTATTTGTAGATGCATGATTGCTTAGTATTGTGTACAGCTCTTGTATGTGGAGTAGCACTTGGATTAGCAAATCCTAGCCTTGGGTGTCTTGCGGATAGATATCATATATCCAAGCTTAGCACTTTTGGGATATTCATTATATCAGGTAATACTTTAGTGGTCATATTATAATTGTTTTTTTCATATGGTCATATTGCTATTGAAATTTTATATACCTTGTTTTGATACAGGTCTAACACTCCGTACAGAAGAAGTTGGTTCTGCTGCTGAAGCTTGGCCAGTTGCGCTGTTTGGTCTAGTATGAACTTCATTCTTCTGTACCAATTTAGTTTTTGTCTCTATTGCTCCATTTTTTTACCAGCAATTGCACACTCCATTTGTTCTTGTGATCTTAGTTCTTAGCCATTGACCTTCGTAGGTAATTTTCGGATTTTCCTATTCGCTGGCTTTTAATTTTTACCTGCTGCTACTTAAAGAATACCATGGAATGCATTTATTCTCCATTGTTATATAAATAGCTGATTTGCCTTTCAAAGCATTTGTTAAGTATGACTGTGTGTATCTATGCACTAAAAAGGGTAGTCCGGTGCTCAAAGGATCCCCACTGTGGTTGCATACAATATTTTCATACTATAATCATATGGACACCATGATTTCTGGATGATTCAGATTCCTCTGCTTTTTCGGGAAAAAGCTCTGCTGGAGATTCTTATCCAGTCTGTTTTTTGTCAGTGTTATCAATGGCGGATGAACGAAATTTTGCCATATGGCACTGCCACAACCCACCATTCTTTAGATATTCATCTGGTGTCCTGCTATATTTCTGCCATCACCATCTCATTCACCATAGACCATCATAATCTGCCATCCTTTGCAAATTTCACTAAATTTCTTACTCCGTATTACCTATGTCCCCCAAGCCCAACCCCACCAAGGCACCAATCCTTTGTTTATTTGTTTGTTTAACAGCTTTCAACTGTGATAGTTTGGTATTTCCTCTTATGTTTTTCGATGAATTAGTTATTTGGTTTTCCTCACCGAGAATATGACCTTAGACCGGAGTGTTTGGAGAGATAGAATTAGGATAGTGGGGTAGTATGGCGGTAGCTTTTGTGCTTAACAATGCCTGTTTCATTTTTCTTATCTTTCTTTGCATACTTTATGTTTCTTTCTGTGTGCTCTGTGCATCTGTGCTCTACTTGAGCTGGGGATCTCTTGGAAACAGCCTCTCTACTTCCGAGTAGAGGTAAGGTCTGCGTACACACCCCCTCCCCAGACCCTACTTCCGTGGGATTCTATTGGGCTGTTGTTGTTGTTGTTATTTGGTATTCCTATTAATCCAGACATCTATTTTGTTGTGTGATTGTTTTTGTCAGTTCTGTGTTTCTATTAATGCAGGCTTCTATTTTGTTCATCACACCTCTATTTTCAAAGATTCTTTTGCTTCTTAGGCTTCAGCCTCAAGAATTTATCACAGGTCAGAAAGATAAATTTTCATTTAAGATGAACTCTACCCTTATTAAAGCTGTCAATCAGATCATTATAGGATATTATTTGATGTAATAGAAAGTGTCATGATGCTTGACTAGGGGGGCATAAAACTTCTGGCTATTTTTAATGCAATGGTCATCTTTGGTTTGTACTTTGTCCAGGTTTGGCTCTATTTTGCTGCATGCCAACTACATTATCTAGTGGAGTGGCTCTAACACGGGTATGTGGGAATTACTCAGATGCAGTAGTAGTTGTTGTTTCTAGGGATGACAATTCAAACCCACCCGCCTGCCCGCCATGTTTGGGCATCAGCTAATATGTACGGCAACCTTACCCTTGTCAAAAAACAGAGAGGCTGTTCTGCTAAACCCTTGATGTATTGGTGATTTGGTGCATTTAGTGCCCAAAATTTCCTAAAAGTTAGAAACAAGGGTGAAATGTAGAATTAAGTATACAATACAGAGCATTAAATATCACATAGTGATGAAGTATACATCAGATATAACATCACAATAAATTTATACACCATAGAAATGTTGTGAATATGATAATAAATACGAGTATTATTTTTATTGAATGTTTAACTTCCTGTAGAACATATTTAAGATTTTAGTTTGTACAAACACATTAAAGTATTATATACGCAAGAACTATTAAATAGCATTAGTTATTTTTTTAATCTAATTGTTTACCCGTAGGTCATCCAATCCATTCTCAAGATGGGCTGGCCTGCATTAATAGGCACCCGCCCTGCCCCACCCCATTGCTAATCTTAAGTTTTCTTTATTGGTTGTAATTTTTAAAAACTACAATGCAGCTGGCTGGAGGAAATTCTGCCCTTGCTCTTGCAATGACAGTAATCTCAAGTCTCACTGGAATCCTTATTGTATGTAACTACACTGTTATGTGATGCTATGTCAAAAAGCTTACTGCTATATTCACTTGGATAAATGTCTTATGCTGTCCAGTGTGATGCTAGATACCCTTTTCCATCTCAAAGCTCATTGCCACAGGAGTGGGTGTATCTGTCCCGACTGAACAGTTGATGAGAAGCCTTGTTCTCACACTCTTGGTTCCTCTTATCGTCGGGAAGGTGTCTTTCACTTTGAAGAAGCATATTTTATGAGAACTCTTAAATTCAACAATGATATTTCCATATATATGCTTTAGTTAACCTTTTTTGACTAATTCATTTACCTCATTGCAAAAAAAAGCACATACAATTTTTCATTGAAGAAGTATCTGATCATACCCATCAAACTATTTAACAGTTAATGAGCCATGAAGGCCTCCATCCATTCATACTTACCCTCTTTTAAAGCACTGACAGTTATTGCCCTATATTACCTGTGTTCAAAGTTCAAAGCACTGATGGATTCTTTTTCTTGATCCAACAGGTTTTCCGAGAAATTTTCAAGAGTGAGTTGTTATATTTTCTCAAATATCGAATACTTGTACTTTTCTTCTAATTTCTTGGTCCAACTAGTTGTTACTTATTCTCTCTGTTGTTGCATTCATGGTGTACACTAGAGTATCAAACCGTATTATGGATTTTCGTATGCCTAAACCGGGAACTTCATTAATCCAATTATGCATTCAATCAAGTAGCTGTTACCATAAGTTACTACTAGTAGCATTTGCTAAGTTTACGAAAAAAATCTATGAACTTCACTTTTCCATATAATCATTTATACCCTGTTAATAGAACAGCGAACTGTGATGTATACTTTTGTAATGCAGGCTTGGGAGAATTTGCTGATCAAAATCGTAAGCTCCTGTCTGTGACAAGTGCAATGCTCCTCAGTTTGGTAAGACCAAGATTCGTCTAATTTCACACTCTTCTTCCCGAAGTACACAAAGTATTCTGAGTCTCTTACATACATCTAATGTAAAATTACTAGAGAGGAAGCTATCGTTCGAGATCGTCATATATCTTGGAAAATTATGAGTTCTGTTAATGAAAGTACGAAACAAGAGTTCCTAATTCCTTTTTTTCCCACTAAGCAGGCCCCATTTATACAAGTGAGTAGATCAAGATCACTGCTCTTACTGGTTAACCCAGCTGCTTTTTTCATAGCAGTGGTCTTGGGAGCGTAAGCATACTTTCCTCTCAATTAACCCAATGGGTTTGTAAGGTTTCTACCTTGTGTGCACTTTTAGTTCTTTTGGTTAAGGGTGGCAAATGGCTGTACTTGATAAATTTTTTATTTTAGTGGTAATAGATGGATTGAAAGTAATCCATTTGTGATCCATTAAAAAAACCAATCCATCCATGATCTATTAAATGTAGAGTAAAATTCGTCCAATCCATCCATTGA